CTTTCCCGCGGCGGGAAGGCCACCTGCTCCCCCAGGGGCCTCCTCTTTCCCCATGACCTCAGTGGTACCGTGCGCGGGCCAGCGCTCCTGGCTCTGCAGCCCGCTCAGTATCCCGGCAGCGCCGGCTTTCCTTCGGATGTCATGGTCGTCCGGGCCTGATGGCTTTCCAGCGGCGGGAAGGCCACCGGCTCCTCCAGGGGCCTCCTCCCTCCCCATGACCTCAGTGGTACCGTGCGCGAGCCAGCGCTCCTGGCTTTTCAGGCCGCTCAGCATGCCAGCGGGTCCGGCCTTCTTCCGGATGTCATAGTCGTCTGGACCTGACGGCTTTCCCGCGGCAGGAAGGCCACCGGCTCCTCCAGGGGTCTCCTCGTGCCCCCGGGCCTCAGGGGCGGCCTGGGCGGGCCAGCGCTCCTGGCTTTTCGGCCGACGCGCCATCCAGGCAGGCCCGGCTTTCCTCCGTGTGTCGCGCTCGTCCGCGCCTGACGGCTTTCCGGCTGCCGCAATGCTACTCACTCCGCCAGGCGCCTCTTCCTGCCCCGGGGCCTCGGTGGCGGCTTGGGCGGGCCAACGCTCTTGGCTCTTCGGCCGACGCTTAGGCACTCCCAGGACGGGCGCTGGAGCCTGGGTGGACGGGGGGATCGGCATAGGCTTAGGGATCCACGGGTGGTCCCCGCGGCGTGGCAGCGGCCAGGCACGGAAGTCCTTTTGGTATTGGGTCTCTCGCTCAAAGGGTGCGTCTGACAGCTGGTACTCGCTGCGCGGCCGACAGCTCGGCTCGGGCCGCTGCACTTTCCAGGCGCGGTAGTCCTGACGCATCACCGAGTCTGCTGGGCCTGTGCCGGAAGAGGAGACCCGGCCGCTCCTGCCTACGGGCGCGGCCGCCTCGCGGTCACCACTCGGCCCTGGCGCCGACCCTGTTGCCCGGGCAACTGCATCCAACTCTCCTTGGGCGGGCTGTGTCTCTATGGCGACCGCGCGCGCGGAAGGGGGCGCCTGTGTCAGCTGCGCCTGCTGCTGCGGTGGGGCGCCCGGGTGCTCCGTGGCCTCTGAGTACTTGGTGAAAACCAGCGGTACAGCGATGTCCGCCTTGTCCAACTGGTTCCAGAAGCGGGCGATGCAGCAAGCCCGTGTGATGCATGGCCACGCCATGATGCTGGCCGCAAAAGCTGGTTCTCTCTTTTTGTGGTTCTACTCTTCCTTAAGCCCTGTGGCCCCCAACTAGTCAATATGGTTGTTACCAGGTTTTCCCCCCCTGGTCAGCTACCTTACCCACCTCCCTTAGGGAGCAAGCTGGAGAGAGAGCCCGACCCTCAAGGTTGGGCCAGCAAAGCTATTGCTAAAATAATCTCAAATATCCCTTGATTACCAGCTGTAAACGCCTCTGGGAGCCTCCTGCAAACGTCTCGGGAGCGCAGTCGGGTGCAGGCGCAGTAGGGCAGAAGCACTGCGTCCCCAACTAGAGCGTCTGGGACGCACCCCTCCCTGCGGCTGCAGCGGCGCTCAGACCCCGGCCGAGAGAGGCGATGCGAAGAGAGGTGGCTGAGGCTTAAGCCATGGCGCAGAGAAAGGGCCTGGCTGTGTGGCTGCGGAGTGAGAGGATGCAGCTGGTCACCTAGCAGGGTGCAGCCAGCCACCTAGCAGGGCTTGGAGGCGTCACGTCCAGCGGAGCCTGAGTGATGCTGCTCCTACCGCTGCTGCTGCCTTCACTGGTGCTGTAGCTGCTGCCGCCGCTGCTGCCGCCTCTGCTGCAGGGGAGCGGCCCCACCCTTTTCTTCCACTCACCAATTAAAAAAAAAAAAAATCTCGGAAAGATGCTGAGAGAAAGGGCGCTGCAGAAAAAAATCACCTGCTGTCGTCAGCGCGCACCACTAGGACCTCGCCCTCTCTCCCCTCCTCCCTCCATCCTAACAGCTCCTCCCTCTGCTCCCAGGCAACAGTGAGATGCGGCCTTGGTGGGTTTACATCCTAGACTCAAAATGACTTTCTGGCCTTGCCCTTGTCGAGTCACCTTCAGGAATCTCAGACTCCTCTTTTATACAATAGGACCAAACACTGGGAGTGGGGGATGAGGGTGGGGTGGAGAATTGCATATTAAAATATAGAAGAAAACTTGAGTAAAACGCCTATTCTACAACAGATATTAAAAACAAGTTACAAAAATCCCACTTTCCGAGTTGATGCCAGCCAGCTCATCATGACCCTCCACTGGTTTCCAGGGCCATAAATCTTTATAGGAGTGGTTGGTGGGTTTGAACCGCTGACCTTTCAATTACCAGCCAAATGCATAGTGAATTATGTCATATTTTAAAAGTCATCTGGTTTTATTGTCTAAAATAAAAAAGCTGAGTATGAACCCACTTTGGTTCCTAACAAAAGTGCTTACTAGGCTTACACATAGGCACTGCTCCTTTTCTAGCGGATTCTTGGGTATTCTTAGGTCCTTCAAAGACCAATCCAGTCCACATAGGGTGTGGGGAGATGTGGTGAAAAGAGGTTTGAAAGGTGAGCAAGCAGAAGAGTTCAAAGTGGGAAAGGAGAAAGTGCCATGGATAGAGGAGTGCCTGCCCTGTAAGATCTTCCTAGCTCATTCTACCCCCAGATTTGCGTTTTCTCTTCTAGGAAGCAGAATTGATTCTGGAGTCAGACTTGTTTCCTACTCTGTCATGGCACTTAATACTATATATATGTCATCTGGGCAAGGTGAGTCATCTCTAGATCTCTCTGAAGAATGAGCCACTCTGTGTGGGTTTGGAAGAATAGTTAAGAACTCAGAGTAGAAGATTTGAGTCAACCCAAATCCAAACCAAACCAAAATTCACTTTCATCCAGTAGATTCCACCCCAGAGTGACTTTTGTAGGACAGAGTAGAGCTGTCTTACAAGATTTTCAAGGCTGTAAATATTTATGGAAGTAGGCTTGCATATCTTCCACACAGACAATGGTGGGTTGGAACTAGGTTTTTTGTTAGCAGCCAAGTGCTTTAATTACTGTGCCACTATGGTTCCTTGACTTCTCAATAGAGTAATGTTGTTGTTATTGATTGCCTTCAAGTCGAGCATGACTCATAGTGGCCCTATGAACAAAAGGCCTAAAGCCCCTCTACAACTATCGACATTTATCAAAGTTCATAGAGTTTCTGGAGGCATGTTACTTAAGAAGTGGATGTCACTCCTGTTTCCAAACATGCCATAGTATATTATTATTGTTATGTGCCATTGAGTCACCTGCAATGTATAGCAACCCTATGTACAGCAGCTCTGAAGCCTTCCCTGTCCTGAGCCAGTCTCACTAATTCTGACACACCAACCCCCATCGCCCCAATTATTGTATCAATCCATCTCATCTGAGATCCTCCTCTCCTGTGCTGTCCCCCAACACATCCGAGCATGATGTCCTTCTCCAAGGACCAATCTCTCCTGGCCACATGCCCAAAGTAAGTGAGGCAAAGCTTCAAAATCCTAGCCTCCAACGAGAGACTTGGTTTAGCCCTCTCCAAGACAGATCTATTTGTTTTCTTGACAGTCCATGGTATGTTCAAGACTCTTCTCCAGCACCATAACTCAAAGGCATCTATTCTATTCTTCTTCTGTCATCTTTAGTCATTGTCTAACTCTCTGAAGCATAACAAGTAATTGAGAAGACGATGGCCTGGATTAGGCACACCTTTGTATCTATTCTGACATCATTGCTCTTCTGCACTCTGGAGAGGTCCATGACAGCAGATTTTCCCAATGCAAGTTGTCTTTTGATTTCTTGACTTCTGGTGTTAAGAGTGTTGATTGTGGATCCGAGCAAGCTGTAATTGCTAACAACCTCAATCTCTTCTCCATCTAATATGGTGCTTCCAATTGGTCTAGTGGATAGAATCTTTGTCTTCTTGATATTGAGCTTTAATCTATATTGAAGACTACAGTCCTTGACTTTTTGCAGCAAGTGCTTCAGGTATTCTTCAGTTTCAGCAGGCAAGGTTGTGTCATCTGCATTTATTGAACCATTGCTATATGCCAGATTTGTTGTAAGCACTTTTCATGCATTATTGCTTTTTTAAAAAAAAATTACACAGCAACTTTGCAAGTTGAGAATTGATACTGTGGTTTACAGAAGAAGAATTAAAGAAAATTGCAGCAATTTGTCCATGTCTATACACTAATACGTCCAAGAGCCTGTGAATTTCATTTGTGTCCTGAATGTATTGTGGTAAAGCATTTGGCCACTAACTAGATGATTAGCAGTTCAAACACACTCTCCGTTCAGTAGGAGACAGACTTGATGGTTTGCTTCCACTAAGCTTTATAGCCTTGAGAACCCTATGGGTCATATGCATCTGTCCTATAAGGTCACTAGAGGTTGGAATCAGCACAATCAATGGCAGTATGTTTGGTTTCTTATTTTAGTACTCCATTCGTGATTCAGTGGTAGAATCCTCACCTGTGCAGGTGAATCAGGTTCAATTCCTAACTCAATGCAATTTTTGCAGAGCCAATCATCTATCAGAATGGCTTATACGTTGCCATTATGCTGAGCAGGTTTCTGTGGAATTTCCAAATTAGAACAGACTGGAAAGAAAGGCTTGGTTGTCTACTTCTGGAAAAAACAGCCAACAAAAACTCTACGGACCATGACAGTCTGATTCTCAACCAATCATTGGGATGGCAGAAGACTAGGCAGTGCTTCATTTTACTATGCATGGAGTTGCCAGGAGTTGAGGGCTGATGTGATGACAGCTAACAACAATAATATTATTAACAACATTGTTGTTTGGGAATCCACCCACAGAACCTATAGCATAGGTCACTTGGATATCTTCTCCAAGAAACCCTCCTGTTTTCCAGTGAGTCTTGATATCTCCTTAATGTCTCTCCATTTATATGTTCTGCACTGACCTTTTATCCCCAGTCACATCCCTTGACCTTTAGCCTTATTTCCCTTCCATAATGGCAGGATTTTCAGCATCAATCAATTAAGCTGACAATGTTGGCATGTAGGGAAGAAAGTGATTGATGTATTTTAGACTGGAAATTGATTGAAAACACAGTTTTTCTTTTCTAAACCTTTGAATTAAGCAAGATGAAAAGATAGCACTGAATTAACCTTTATCTGATGAACTTCCTTGTATTTGAGCCTTTGCATTTTGGGGATTTGATTTGCCTTCCATAAATACAATTATACTTGGCATGGTTTTCTTGTTGTTAGGGGATGCAATTTTTTAATAAACAATATAGTCTGGTCTGGACGTTTCTCTTCCTGGCACTACAGACTTCCTGAGATTTGGCTAATGACTTTTCAGTGGTGATTTCCAAAGGCAAAAAAGGGAACCAGAGATTGAAGTGACAGTGGTCAATATTGAGAGCGGTATATTAGTCTTCTTTCATTTAGCAGTTCTAATTTTCTGATTGAGACCACTGGTAGCCTTGTCCTTAGGGAGTTGGTTGCTGACCCAAATGCTGTGTTTTCTTAAGGTTGAAACCCACCGGTAGAAACTCCCAGGAGGGTCAGCTGTGAGTCCATTTTGGATTTCATTAGATTTTGCACAGTGCTGCCCCACCCCCATCCCCACTTCCACTGCCTGGGCCTGAGGCCTGGAATGAAGCTGAAACTGCAGCGGGCCTCACTGTGCCATGATATCTGCATACTTCCTTGTTTTTAGGGTTTGCTCTTAGGGATACATCAGTAAATTGTCAGTTTTAAGTACTGGGGGAGTGATTTGCATATTACTGATTATTTTATAGCTTAGAGTCTTACATTCTTGCTTGTTCATCATTTACTCTTATGAGTACAGTACTTGTCTGTCAGTTTGCTTTACTGCAGTGACTTGGTTTGCAAGACAGACCAGGAAGCAGGATTGGCCATCCACTTCAGAAACAACAGATCTTTGAAAACCCTTTGAACAATGGAGAAACACTGTTAGATGTCGTACTGGAGGTAGAGCCCACATTCAAACTTATTTAAAATGAGAAGAAACAGATGCAAACATTCATTTATAATTGGAACACAAAATGTACAAGGTATGAATCTAGGAAAATTTGACGCTGCCAAAAATGAAATGGAACACATCAAGTTATATATTTTAGGCATTAGTGAGCTGAGATGGAGGGATATTGGCCATTTTGAATCAATCATATGATCTATTATGACAAGAATTAAAAAATGAGAAAGAATGATGTTGCATTCATAGTAAATTA